GCCCCACAGTCAGCGACCGGGGCGGCGCGGGGAGCCCGGAGCGCAGGTCGGCCCCGGGGTGTCGGGGGCTTCTCCCCGGGGAGCGGGGCTGGAAGGGCCCCGGGCAGCGCCTCGGCCTGCAGGCCGAAACGCTCCCCTTCGGGGTGTGTGTGTAAACATCGTAAGTGGTTGTTCAGTGCCGAGGCTCCCGTTGGGGAGGAATTAAAACACGGTAGGATGAGGGTGCGTCTTCCGGAGGCTATTCTGGAGAGGCCGGGTGGCGCGGCGGGCGCCCCCGCCGAGGGGACGCCGTTCCAGGTCACTTCTTGCCCCCGCGAAGCACCAGCTGGGTCGGGGTGGTTCCCACCGGGCTCCTGCCTGGCCTTGGAACAGCCGGAGATGGCATTTCCAGCGGCTGGCAGGTTGAGCTCGGGTTTAGTGGAACTTTTGGGAAGTTCTTGCTGCAACGTGGGTCGTGCTTTTGTGTTCATTGTACGCTTACTTCCAGCAACACTTTAAAATTGCATCCTACTTTGCTTTTTAAATGCAAAACAATCCCAATCTTTTCTCATGGGCAGTATTCTTAAGTCCTCATGCGTATTGTCAAATTTTCTCCACTTGACTGCTGCGATTCTTTCTTGAGTTGGGATGCTAACCCTTGTTGACTTTTAAATGTTTTATCTCTTTTTTTTGCAAATACTTCCTTTTTCTTCAATTTCAGAAGTGACAGGCCAGCTCTTGTTGCTTCAACTGTGGTTAATGGCAGAGGTTGTTTCCTCTGCTGGTATCTGTGTGGGTCTTTACTCAGTTGCCTGTAACTTGCACATCGCGACTTGCAAGCTTGAGAGGTCAAAATATAATACTAAGTCAACAAACCTGATGTAGCATAAAACTGGCTAGACGTGTCTGATTTTTAGGCTCTTCCCCCAAGCCCTGGGTAAGCTGACAAGTATGCAAAGCTGGCAGATTCAGGCATCTTGCCTTGGGGACCCTGCTTAAAGCCTAACAGAAGCAAGAGTAGATGCTGTCTGGCTCCTCGTGGCACTAGAGCTTTCAGTGTTGAACTGATCCCATCCTCTCACGGAAGGAGCTGCTGATAAAGGACTTGGATTCCTCTCCGGATTTTCTTTTTGAATTTTAGCAGACGTTCTCTGTGGCGGACAATGAAATCTCTCTGCTACCCACTGAAAATCAACGCTGTGTAGGTGTGATTAGAATGAAACAGAAGAGTTGCTACTGGCTGATGTCCGCTGTTGCCACCTGGAGAACTCTCCTGGAGTGCTGTCAGCAGCTCTAGGGAACTGCTCATCTGCCCTCCTCAGTAGCTCTGCCATCAGCAGTACAACAAAGATGTTTTGCATACTGATTGAATTTTGTTAAGCACAGACAGGACCAAAGAGAGACAAAACACTATCAGAATAGGGATAGGAATTTTTTTTTTTCCTCAGTGAAATACGTATTTTCTGTATGTGTGTGTTTTAAAATACAGCTGAACTCCCAGGGAGGCCTTTGGGCTGGCCTGTTTGGAGTCCCTGCATGTTGCTGATCCTCTGCAGTTTGGTGCACCCAGGAGATGGGAGATTTGCCAGTCCCAGTGTGCTGAGTTCGTCCGTTTGCCGAACGGGCAGATTCTCTTTCACTGCTGCTGTTTGAGTTATTCCATTTATTAGATCACATGATTGTATCACTGCAATTTGATAGTGCTGAATGGTTGCATTGGGTCTCTTTTTTTGGTAGAAAAATCTGTTTTCATTTATTTGGCAGATATTTGTCTTGTAAGTTCATGAAGGTGACCATTGTTTTCCTTACCTGTAATTATGTGCTAATTGTAATTTTTTTAACTTCTTTCCTCTGTGGACTTCTGCTTGTTCTGCAGTTGGATGGAGAAGTAGCCTTGTTCGTACATTGCCATGAGTGACTGCTGCTTTTCTGTACTTTCCTAGCTGCTAAAGCTACCAGGATTTGGTGATGGAGGCTTTGCTGGAAGGAATGCAAAGAAATGGGCAGGGGAGGTATGTATGCAACAGTATACACGAGTCATTCAAAATCATTTAAGTATTAACCTTCGCTCTTCAGAATCAAATCCTCTGGTATCAGACAAAGCTTCCGTTGCTTAAATAAGGGCTTTGGAGTTTGTTCACTAGCGCATGCTGGTGGACAAATACAGTGTGCAGTGTCCTTCAGCTGGTGCGGAAGCAAAGTCACTGGGTGAGCTGGCTTTGCAATAATCCCTTAATTGTTAGAAATTTAGTTTTACATCTTCCTGAAAACCTTACCTCTTTTTTTTGTTGTAGTTCTAAACTCTTCTTACCATCTTAACATCAGGAGCAGTAGTAATTAAAGGTGTGAATAAATATTTTTTTTTGTAACATCCTTGCAAGGTTAATGAGATGTGACTTTGTTATCTGTTTTTATTGAAAACATCTGATTATTTCCTGCTTGTGTTGAAACTGCAGAGTCCCATTCATCTCTGAAGAATCTTTAATGTTATGTCTTAGGTGAAAGTATCTAGACTTTTGGATCCCCGAGAGAGACTGTAGTGCAAATAATGGAAAAAAATGTTTTATGTGTTAAACAAGTGTGAAGCAAAAGTTACTGATGCCATTTTCATAGTCATCTTTGAGAATGTGACTCAAGTTTACTGATACCGTATCTTCTACAGAGAACTGGTTGCAGAAATCAAGTTTAGACGTTGCTTTATATTAGCAGATGCTGTGAAGGAAATGTTCTTGCTTTGCATAATAGCTGCTAATTTTTGGCTACCTCGCAGGACAGGGTGAACTTCAAATTTAACTGATCTTGGCTCCTTTAAGAAGTGCATCTTTCCCTATAGAAAAACTGCCAAGTTGTGAAGTGTGCATATGCTCTGGAGGAACAGCGAAATTTCAATCCCTTAACCTATTGATTTCCATTTCTTTTCAGTGCTTCCTGTTTGACAGGCAAATTAAAGGGGTAAAGATCATCATGGAGTTCACCGTCCTCTAGGGCTGTATCTTGCAAGACTTAATATTGTCCCTGGCTTAGCAGCTTGTGAAGTTTTAGAGGAGTTAGTTGAATTGACTTCAATAATTACTGCACCAAATTAGAAATTGCAGCGTCGCTAGGGAGCATGCTCTCCCCAATGGATTGCGAATGTTTTATTCTTCATTATCATGTTGTCATCCAACCCCCTCTACTTAGGGGTTTGTCTGCATTTGTGATAAACTTCTGTTTTCAGGAGCTGATAGCTTGGCTGTAAGATTTCTCTGGTGACTGAAACTTGGTATAAAATGCCTCTGCCTGGAGAGCAATTAAGGCATAGGATAATATAAGGATAAAACATGCTCCGGTTTACTTAGATAATGCATAGTACTGAGACAAAAGATAAGTGTTTATAAGTTCTTGTAATGGTTCTCTGTATAGAAGACAACCCCCCTACATTTAAAGTGTGTAGGTCATTTGTTTTCACTGGGATTTCACAAGTATTCTTCGCTGGTCATTGCCAAATTTAGATCTCTGCCCAGTGATACGAACATACCACTTGTGAGATGTTTCATTAGAGAATGGGATGAATGCGTAAGTATTAAACACATTTCTCTGCAAGCTAATTTGCATAGCGTTCAAAGCACTGCATGTGCAGAGTTGGTCCTTTGGTGCAAGTCAGTTTGTTCTGCTGACTTTGTTGGTATGGGACACTAGACCTGTGTTGGGTGGTGCCTGCTTTGTAACTTCAAGCTCTTTCCCTTCCAGCAGTGGGTTCTTGACTTCCTGTGAGGCTGAGCTGCAGGAGCTGATGAAGCAGATCGACATTATGGTGGCTCACAAGAAATCTGAATGGGAAGGACAGACACAGGCTTTGGAAGCTTGCCTGAGTGTTCGAGAGCAGGAACTTTCCTCTGCCAGGGCTGCTCTGCAGGAAAAATATAAGGAGGTACTGCTTCAGGTTCATAGTTTCCTTATCAGTGTTGACCTGTGTGTTTTACATGTTACAAATACAATATAAAGCCTGAACCTACATTTCAGAGTTTGACTTTGCATGGACGTGTGTTTTGGGTATTGTTTCATCAGTTTTGATTTTTTTTTTTTTAATGTTTAAATGCTAAGCCGAAGCAAGGGGTTAACTTTAGCAAATAGCTGTGCTAAGCAAAACAGGAGCCTGTCTCATAATTGGAAATCAGGAATAGAATTTACAAAGGAGCCTGTTGGAACAAGATGTCTGATTCATAATTCAATCAAAGTCAAGTGATCAACTCCCTAAGGGTTGGTGGAAGTCCACAGACTGAATTGTCAGAGTTTCTAGAGAGAACCCAGAGATGCTGAATCTGGATACAACAGTAATTGACAGCCCAGCAATGCGCAGTCATTGGTAGAACGAACATTTAGTGGTGTAAGCTACACCAAGATATTGCTGGGAGATTCTCCAAGGACTATTTTATGCAGCTCAGGTTTTGTAGGCTTTAATTAAAGGCTTGGGGGAAGTGCACCAAATTTCTGTATCAGTGGAGAAGTATCAGTAAGTGAAGTTTTTGCATAGGGTGTGGACCATAAACTTTCTCTTGTGCAAATGAGTTGATGTATGTTTTCTTGGATCAGAGGAAACCGGCAGGAGTCTGGGTGGCTATATCTTAAGATCTAGCCACATTCACTTTTTGTGAAAGTGTTTAAAATTTGTCCTTATATTTATAGCTGCTGTGTCCTATCTTTTGGCAGACTCTTTGCTACAAACTGTGTTTTGGCAGCTTTCTAAGGAAGTTGCTTTGACTTCTTGGGTCGAAAGCCAGCTGATAACTGCACAAGCAGTTGGGTTTTTTGGGTGCCTGTACAACTATACTATAGCTATTCTTACATCCTCAGAATTACCCAAGTATTGCTGTAGATTTTAGTAATTTGGTGTGGAATCTAGTAAAATAAAGGGAAATGTGACAGGCTGTAGCAACAGTGGGTTAAGAACTCTGTAGTTTCTTGTTAATGCGGTCAGGTGCTTCTACTGGGCTGGATGGCAAGTTTTGGAATTAATGTCTTTGTTACAGGGTTATTAAATCTGGAGTCATGCCACAGGATTTTCATTTGCAAGAACTGTCATTTTTATCCTATAGGTTAGCATTGTTATTATCAATTGTGTTTTCTCAAGACACTTTTGAAATTACCACCAAAAGCAAACATTGATTTCAAAACTGAACTGTAAACTATGGTTAGAGTCACTACTGGAGTATATTCATGCTTTTGGTTTACTCATATGAATTTTCTGTTATGATTTCTTTTAATTTGTTGGCTTGCTGTCCTTTGGACCTACAGTTAGAAAGGTGGCCACTTTGGATTGCGGATGTGAAAAAGATGGGGTGGGAGTAGGGGGGGGAACTAAAAAATGAGTCACAGGAGTATTTGAATCAATGTAAGGGAAGTCTTCCCCATGAGTTTCAAAGCCCCATTTCTTTCTGTGTCCCCCTCATGTCCATGTATTATTTGGAATCTCTGCTTCACCCGAGTGTAGTAAGATAATGACATGGTCATCTTTTCTCTTGGTAGATAGGTTGAAATCATAATGCATGTTTATGAAGAATTTGATGAAAATGCCAGATAAAAATAGCCTTTTGACACAAGCCCAAACTGTTGGTTTCATCCCAAACATGAAAGCCAGAAACTGGCTCAAAACAAGAGACCAGAATAGAAACAATTCTGGCCCCAGCCTACCAAAGATTTAGGCATAGACTTAATCTGATTCATAGTGAGTAACTCCATTGAAATGTGCAGTTGTTAGCAGAATTAGGATCTTTTTAATAGTCATTTATCACTCCTACTATAATGTATATTTATAAAATGAAAGCTAATTCCAGTACCTACTGACTATAAAGTCCACTTCTGTTGTTTTATTTATTTGCTTTTTAACTCTTCATTCAGGTTGGCATGTTGCGTCACCAGGTAGAAGGCATGGAAAAAGCTAAACAGGACATGGTTAGAGAATATGAACAACAGCTGAAGAAATTTCAAGAGGAGGTGAGTTGCAAAAAGAGAAGATTGGTTTTTAGTTCCCAGTTGATGTATGATCTGATAGGTGAAATATTTTGTGTCATTGCTTTTGTTTTAAAACCATGGCATTTAAACTTCCCATTCTTTTATTGTTTATGCTCTTACAAAAAAGAGCATTAAGTGTAGACAAAGTAATATTTTTATGCTTCATTAGGCCTGTTTTTTGCAATTCGGAGGAACTTGGTGACAAACAGAAAACTGTTGGAGTAGAAATGTGTAGTAAATGTATTGGTGCAGTTTTCATGTGTTAGACATCTGCATAAGTTTACGGCAAAAATGTCCTGTGTTTGCCTATCCTAGTCACCGTAGTGCTTGTTCTGAAGTTGCCGTGGTTACAGGAAGCAGCAGTTTGCTCTTTCAGCATTTCCTGAAATTAAAAAGGTGGTGGTGTAACTGGCCTTGATCATATGAGGTGAAGAGATGAGAATGGTATGTAGTCTCATTTTCTTTTTGCCTCCATTGACTCTGAATTTGTTCGTAAGGATTTTGTTCTCTCAAGGCATATTAGTCTTAATACACTTAATAAAAACAAAGTATACTTAGAAAATATTTTTTGAAAATAATTTCGGAGCTTTCATCTCAAAAAGCTTCTTATTCACCTCAAGGTGGTACATGTGGAATGTCCTGCAGGTCGTATAACAGCATTCCATGTTTATGCCTTAACTCTTTGCCTGTCTCCACTTGCTTGTCAGTAGCAGTGAGTTAAATGGCATGAACAGCTAGTAGAGTATTGACCTGTTTTCTCTGGAGGGTTGGGCCTAGTTCATGCTCACTGTAAGCCATAAGTTAAATTAATTTGGTAGTCTCTGCTTTGAGGACAGAAGGCATCTGTCCTCATTTAAAACACCTTACTATTCAGTATGACTAACAGTCTTCATTCACTAGATGTTCCCACTGGAATTGTGGATAAGCTGCAAAGCAAAGCTGAGGTGCATTGGCAGATCTGCGTAAATTGCTAAGGCTAAAATACAGTGTGTGTGTTGTGGCCAAAATTGCAATGTGTTGGTATTTTACCCACACAGTATTAACGTAGATGACATTAAGCTCCAATATTCCTCAGTCTTCTGTTCTTAGTACTGTTTGGGGAAATTTTTTCTGTCTTGGTTTACCACCATTACCAGTAAAATTACAGGTACAGCGTCTAACTCACTGAGACTGTTGAAAGAATAAACCTGTAATCTCTTGATGTGTTTGGCAAAAGATGTTCGTACATTAACTGTAAGCCTGTACGTCTGTCCATTCCCACTGAACGTGCCTAAGTACGCTGCTGACTCAGGGCTCTGGAGAACCTTTTGTGACCAGTGCATGAGGTCTTGATTCAGATGTTTTTTCTTCTCATGATCCTTCTGTTCATCCATGGGCTTAGCTTTCTCCATCAGTGAAATGCGAATGATGACTTCTGAGATTCATGTGGCTATTTGGAAACTCTTTATTTAATAGTTGAGTTGGGGGAAGCTCATCAGATGGAAAATTCTGTGCAAGTTGCAAGTGATTATTTGCACAGAGGGTCATCTAAATGTCAAGAGTCTTTTCCTCATTCCTGCTTCTGATACGACTTTAGCATTCTAGCAGTAGGCGTAGGAGTGATATTTTCCGTTGGCATTCTCCACTCATTGTGAAATACATGGTGTATCTAAGCAGAAAATGACAGATGAAATAGTGTTGATATTATGTATAATGGCAATTCTCAAATCTTCCTTCTCCTGCTAAGCGGAAGAGTTCCAGTTCCCACCTGAGCTTTACAAGTATATTTTAATGACATAAGAAATTGTACCTCTTTGTAGAACTACCCCCCACTCCATGTGTGGTGTGCTGTGCCCCTCTGTGTGAGGAGATCAACCACAGGTACTGCCTGCTATTACTGTGGCTGGGAGCCACCTGCAGAGAGAGGGGTACCATGCTCTTGCTGCATTAACAGCTACATGTAACCCTCCATCTTATCAATATTTTAGTCATGTTTTAACAGTGGTAAGATAGAGGTCTAGAGCTGCTGATGTCACAACTTCAGTGGCATCTTGCTACTCTTATACAACTTGGCATATTTTGCAATCCTGTTGGTACAATAGGCTCATTATACAAATAGAAGTCTTCACTTGCAAGCTGTGTGGCCTTGATTAGGGAATTGTTTGTGTGAAGACATTTTGTGTGTCTTCTTTCAAAGTGCTGTTTAATTCTTGCCTTGGGGCCTTGAACAAAGTTGTCTCTTTCACTGTATTCCTTGCAGTTGTCCAGGCTGAGGAGGAGCTATGAGAAGCTGCAGAAGAAACAACTAAGAGAAGCTAGAGGAGAAGCTAACAAGAGACAAGGGGAGGACCAGTTTGAAATGAGCCGACTGACCAGGAAGCTGGAGGTATGTAGTGAAAAAGCAAGTGCTAACCAGAATTTGTATGTATTAACTGACTTTCTGGGCTTCACTGGTGACTGAATAGTCAATTAGGAAGTGGACCATGAATCATGCTTAAAAAGTACTCTCTATCTACTCTCCAGGTGTAGCTCTTCTCAACTGCTTGTGTAATAATGGCAGTTTCCTGCACTGGGGCCTCTGAGTACACAGGATAAACTATGCCGCTGTTCTTAGACTAAATAAAAGAAAGAAGATGCTGGAAGAGTAATTAATTATGTGAATGGAATGAATTCCAGTGTGGTGAGGTTGTCATCTCACTTCTTTGAGGAGGAGGGAGCTCCATGTCAAACTACTTCTCAACCCTGTCTTATCTTTTAATCTCTGCTATGCTGAGCTCAACCACACTGAGTTTTCTTCTACTGTACCCTGAAGATGTGGCTAACAAACACATCTGACTGATGTAGTGTCCAATTCCTGGAGCAGAGATTAGCATTAAAATTCTGTAGTTCATACTTGTCATCTTAGTGATTTCAATAGCAGCATGTTTTGGAAGCTAAAGCCAGTCTGAATTGTTAAGCCTCTGACAGCAAATCCATGAAACTAGCCATGAATCTGTTAGCACTTAACATTTGTAAACAGCAATAATTGACACTGACGTTTTAACTCGGGAGGGAAAGAAATACAGCAAGCACAGTATGTGAGGGGTTTTATACTGCTGAGTTGGTGCATCAAATGGCTGGCTAATGGTTTCCCTGCTGTGGGGAAAGGTGCATGAGGATATGGTGGAAAGAGAAAGCAAACATGGATATGAACTAGAAGGGGGTCTTCTTGTCAACTGCATGGATGTACTGCTCCTAGCCACCCCTGCTGTGCTTGCAGGAGTTTCGTCAAAAATCACTTGACTGGGAGAAGCAGCGCTTGCTTTACCAGCAGCAGGTGGCATCGCTGGAAGCACAGAGGAAGGCTTTGGCTGAGCAGTCTGAGCTCATTCAGGTACAATTAATACGTGCTGAAAGTTTTTGTTTTGTTTGTGGCAGCAGGTGGGAGGGGAGGGAGGGGGAAAGAGGGAGAGACTAATGAAATCTCTCAGGCTTGAATCCAGTTTAGGTTGCCATTGAAATGACTTTTAATGTCCCGGTGGAATAAGGTTTACTTGTGTAAGTGCTGTATGGAAAAAAAGATCTGGAGTCTGTCAACAGAGGTTAGATAAACCTTGTGCAGTGCTCTCTGCCACCCCTCCACCCCTCCAATTAGTAGAGAAGATAGTAGGATGAAGCTTTCCCTAGGAGACAGAGGCCACAGCATATGACACTTTAAAATAGCTGTTACATCATGTGGTCTAGTTCAAAGCTGTGTACCTGCCAGTAGCTAAATATGTACCTTGTAGGTCCAGCTCAGAGGATGATGTTGGAAAATAGTCTTCCCCTATGACAGATACTTCTGCAAAGTACTGAAGTAACAGCAGTTTTCAGCCCTCCCTTTTTTTTTTTTTAAAGTCTCTTAAAGGCAACAAGTAGTGGGGCTGCTGTTCCTGAAAAGCTAATCATTTGGTGAGTTAGTGGTGCTGCAGCAGAGCAAGATGAATTGACCTAGAGCACAGCTGTGAAGTCATACTGACACAATCACAGCAGACACTGATAAGAAGCTCTTGCTGGGGGCTTTACACTTAATGGGCTCCTGAGTTGCTCTTGAGTGGAAGCTCCTGCAAGGAGGAAGCTTGTGATGACAGGATTGAAGCTGGCTCTGACAGGGGCTTTGTGAGAGGCTGACACTAGTAGATCTACAAATGCAGAGAGAGTCATTGAGCAGAAGGTCTTGCTGCTCTGCTGTCTTTGTATCATTGATAGCTCAATTGTCTGAGAACAGATGTGTCCTTGGAGTGCAGGCTAGTATACTGGAGTGCAGAGGAACTCCTCTTACTGTGCAGCAGAAAAGCAGGAATTTGGGGAGATTTTTCCTAAGCGGTATAGATGACTTAGGTGCGTAGGTACTGTGAACAGACCGCCTGAATCCTCAATTTCTTTGAAAAGCCCAGCATGAAAGTGCTAAATTTTTGCCTTGGATGTTTCTATGCATTTTGTATGCTTGGTTGTTTTTCTGGCACAAGGTCAAGCTGAGATCTGTCACCATGGAGTGCTTCCCCTTTCTCTTCTTTCAGCTGGCTTCCCCTCATCTTTCAGTGCAGCTTAGGGAAGCCTGTCATTCTTACCCAGTGATGAGCACCTTCCTGTAGCACCTGCAGCCTTTAAAGTCAACAGGTGAAACTTGGAATTCTGTGCTGTCCTGCATGTTCTGTGGCTGGAAATAAGAGATAGCTTAAATGTTTTCTTAATACAGAAATAAATATTCAGGTAGTTTCATACTCTGGTTTCTTGGGTGGAGAAAGGCTGTACTTTAAACTCTTGCCCCTCCTGATTACCTTTTCTGTCATGACTATTCAAATAATGAAAAGACTGTAATCAAAATTATACCATAGTCTTCCAAATGCACAGTTCCTATAGTTTTCTCAGTTATAAGGCATTATATGTCAGGCAATAAATCAAGGCATGTGGTGATTTAGAAGCTGGCAGGAATTGCTACTCTTAGAAACTGGGGCTAAAGGACTACTCAAATATTTTGTTTCAGCTTTTAAAAATTATAAGGTACTATACAAAAAGGGAATATATGAAGTCAATATTCTTAGACGCTTATATGAGAGCTGGCTTGTTAAATTTCATCAGCTAGCTACATGGAAAGAAATGCTATGAAATAAAGTATTGTGCCTATAAATAATAGAGCATGTATTGTTTGCTAGTATTATGTTCCTTATAACTTTTTTTTGTCTGCCATTAAAACAATGAAACATTCAAAGTGAGCATTCTCACAAGTTGTTAGAACCAGATATTTACTGCATAAAGCAAAACATAATTGACTGTTACACCCAGTTTGGTTTTTGATCTGTTTGGTGGTTGTGTTTTTTTGTTTTGTTTTTTTTTCATTGTGCTCCAAGAGCTGCTTTCTGTCCTGGTGTGGAATTAACAATTGGGTAATCTTTAGCTTGTGTGTGGTATTTGCAAACCTTCTTACATGCTGCCGTTTCTCCTGTTCTAGCCTTAGAGCAAAAAATAGTAGGCAGCTTTGTTCTTAGACAGTTCATGCTTGGACAACTTGAGTGACTTGAGATCTCCTTTTCCCAGATTCTCTTTGAACCCCTTTTGGAATCAGAGGGCTCCCTCCCCCCTTTTTTTTTTTTTCTTTTCTATTCTGTTTGCCTTCAGAAGTTTTACCCATTGTGTAATCCTGGAACAATACTTTCCCTAATTCGCTGAAAGGTAGTGTTGCTTACTTTGAGGATGTGACTTGTTACACAAAGAAAACAGTAGTTGTTTTGAATGAATGCAAACCAATTGCTCTTAGCAGACTCAGCTTGCCAATCGGAAGCAGATTCTGGAGTCAGTGGAGCTGGCTAGCAGATCGGAAATCCAGCACTTAACCAGCAAGCTGGAGAGGGCCAACGATGCTATCTGTGCCAATGAGTTGGAGGTGGAGAGGCTTAACATGAGAGTGGATGACCTGACTGAAAACAATCGAATGATTCTGGAAGATCAGCAAAGAGTTCAAGAAGAATTAAGGCAATCCAAGAAAATGTTAGAGGTCAGTGGAGGAACTGTTGGAAACTAAATATAAAGCAGTGCTTGGGAGAAGTAGCAGGAAGGCTCTTCATTCCAGAGCTCCCATCTCCTTCTAGAGCCTTTGTAAAGTTCCTGATTGGCCTCAAGGCTGGCTTTGTACCCATGTGGTGCTCTGCAGTATTTCCAAGGATTCCTTAAAAATCTGATCAACCTCTCTTCGCCCTACAACAAACTGATTTGGTCCATCTTGCAACAGTCATTCCTTCTGCCTCCCATGCAGGTGCTACAGGATGAGAAGATGGAACTTAGAGCCACGCTGCAATCTCAGGAAGATTTCATTGACAGCTCCAAGCTGCACCAGGAACAGTTACAGAAAGAGCTGGCCAGGGTGACTGAAACTCTTTGCACAAAAGAACTCCTCATCAGGTAGCATCTGTGCCTCACTGGTACTTATGCTCTTGAATCCAGAGCTATATTCCAGGTTCTCCCACTGAGGATGGTAGAAGCATTTTCATACAGCTGGATCTGTATTGGTTGATATATAGAATGGTATGCTGTAATTTCTCACAAGTGTTGTGCTTCCTTGCAGCATTTGCCAAGTTGCATTGCTTTTGAAATCAACTGATACTCAATGAAGAGTGTGGAAGGAATCAGCTTTCTACTCAGCTAGGTTTCTGGAGGCAGCACAGGGCTTTTGAGCTTTTCAGCTTTTTTTCCCCCCAGGCATTTTCAGTCAAGTGCTGGAGGCCTTTCAGGATTTGATACTGTGCTTATTAATATAGGTGAAAGTTCTCACCGATTTAATGATGTCAGATTAGGGTCTTGGTAAAGTAACTACGTATGTGACAAAATCATCTTGGCCTTCGCCTTTTGCACTGGCAACATGCAAAAGCTTATAGGGTTCTGATGGCCATGTCAAAAGGTTTTGGTGTATGTTACCTAACAGCCACATGGTTTCTTGCAAGCTGGATGTCTGCTAATGGCAGGGAGACTGTCTGGATCAGGGAGGCCAACATCAAAATAGGATGTAGTCTTTTTTTAATCAGCCTGAACTCAAATAGGGGGCTGTCATCCAGCTGGTATGTGTGTTTATTCACAATGCACACAGGTGTCACCTAGTGTTGGGTTTTGTGTATTTTTCAGAGAATTCCAAGAAAATGGTGGTTATGTTCCCCATATTAGTGAACTCAGACATGACTTTTCTGTGCTGAGATTAAAGTTCATATCTCTGCTTAGGGCCTTGGAGGAACGCTTGCAAGAGAAACAATTGTCTTCTCCCGGGCTGGAGCTGGAGCATATACTACTGCGGCTGGATGTTGCCCAGAAGAAGGAACAGCACTTACAGTCAGAAGTGACTCACCTTGAGAACAGGTAGCCGACTGCTTGCTTCCCCTGGATGTGCAATGAAACTTGGATAATAATATAATACCTAATATATTGTATTCATCAAGTTAACCAGTCCCACTGATTTTTGTAGGCTTATTTTAAATATCAAAAGGCTGAAGAAATCAAATGCTATTCATTTTGCAGTTTAATAGTGAGACTGTTTTGCTAATTGGTTGGCTGCTTTTCACTGCACACTGTGGGTGTTTTCAGTGTTTTAGCTTGCTTAGGCTTAGCACCTTCACTGGTAATAGGTTAAGGAGTCTTTGTTAGTCAGCTGGTAAGAACCAGATCTAGACCTTACTGTGAAATAAGAATTATAAACAAGTCTTCCTCTCTGAGTTTGTAGTTTTCAGACTAATTTTGCATGGGAAGTTTGTAATCTTAGAATGGCAAAGAAATAAACAAGAAACAGCTATTATCTGTTAGATCAGTTTCCTGATCTCCTTTGAAATTATTTTGGTAAACAAAACCAAAGGATTGGTAAGGAACTTCTAGGTTAAGAGTCCAGTTTCTGTTATGACAGACATAGGAGTCTGCTTGGAAGATCAAAGTTTCTCTGACCATGTCCTCCTTCTTGGGGTATTCTACTAATCTGTAGTTTTACATTTGGCACCCAGCCTAGTGTCTTCAAATGCAAGGTGTGTACAGCTGAGTGAAGAGCTGGATGAGAATATCAAAGAGCTGCAGTCAATGGAAGAACACCATACTGAGTCAAAGGCAGAGATTAAAAAGGTAATGTCACTTTGTTCCTGGAGAGTGGGAAAGGCACTTGTGGAGTTAGCTGTTGCTGTGTGTGTCATGTGCCTCAGCAGAGACTGCAGTGTGCAGTTAGCAAAGCTCTAAATGGGATCAAAGGCCAGGAGTGTTGTGGAGGCAGTGATATGCTGAAGGGTAAGCAGCAGATCAGACAGAGGAGGAGTTGAGAGGATGGGTTTGCAGGTTTCTATACATGGCTGTGTGGTTTACTTTGTGAGCATCTGTTAGGCCTACCCCTACATCATGCAGTACTTCTCTACAGTGTGGAGATACTTGAATTAGTGCTGGAGGGACAAATACGCAAAGAAATGAAGGCCTGGAATTCTGAGTTTAAGCCTAATACAGGCTCCCAACAGGATGAAAAACAGGGAGGGAATGGGTTTTGCTGTAATAATGACCTATCACACTTGAGACAGGGCTTCAAATGTGTTCTCGTCCATATGTGAATAAGGGAGTTTGTTTCAGGCTTGATACTTAGACATGAACCAGGGTCTGGAAGAAATGGAGCAGCTCGTCTGCCGTGAGAACCTCACCCTAGTGCTCTGTACACCCAAGGGAGGCATGCCCTCCAAAAGGCTTGACTTTTAATAATGGTCTAGATCAGTTAGTGTGAGAGCTTTCACTGGTGCATGGTTAGAGTAGAAACCTTGTTGGACTTGAGTGGAAAACCTCACTTCTGTGAAAATCTTTCATTCTTTATTCTGAATGTACAGAGGTGCAGATCTTGCCAGAGATGCATGCTTGGTTACACATTTAAACAGCCACACAATAAATGAATCTCCTACAGGCTGCTAGGGAGGAAAGAGAGATTTATTATGGTTGTTTCTATTTTATATACTTGGGAGGCATTGAGGTAACATGGAGATAAATCACCATATGTATAGTATTTACATGGCTAGGCAGAGATCATCTGGTTCAGTTTTCTAAAATGCTTGTAATTCTCAGAAAAATCCTGGAGGTTTGGGTAGCTAATATTTCTGGCTAATGGAATGCAATACTAGGGAAGAAATTATGCTGTGTTGTTGTTCTGTTATGCCACTGAATAAATATATGGTGTGCCTACCAGAATATTATATGCAATTCAGGTCTGCCATCTCAAAAAGGATTGAGTAAAACAAGATAAGATATGGAAAAAGGTGACCAAAAGGATGGAGTGTTTTTTATACAAGGAACAGCTGAATGGAATAGGACTTACCAAACTGGAAAAGAGATAAATGAGATTGAACATACTAAAAATAAAATCATGCCTGTCATGTGGAAAGTAAATAGGGAGTGATTATTCTCCCATAATGCAGGGACTATGGGTCATCAAATGGAGTTATGAAAATAAAGAGGTATATTTTTACCCTGTGCATAGCTAGCTTGTGGAAGTTTGCCATGGGTTGGCTTTAGTTGTGACAAGCTGATATCGATTCAGAAGACTTAGGACAAATTAGTGGAAGAAAAGTCTGGCTAGAGCTATTTAAAGATACCATCTCTGCCTCAGGAAGGCAGAGTGGCAAATTGCAAGGTTATATTATGAAAGTGTTATGGTGCTTGCCCAGTGATGGTAAACCCTTGGGTGTCTGTTGTTGGCCATGGAGGTAGAATGGTGAGCAAAAGAGACTGTGGTTTGATCAATTATGGGTCTTCTCGAGTACTCCACAGCATAACTTAGGTCTTGTCCCAGTTGGCAGTTTATGGTGTGGAAAAGGACTGAGATGAGGTGGTTTTCAATCAAGAAGGACAAGCATGCACAGAGGGCTTGTGACATAGAGCTTTTTGTTTTCCAGTACTTAGATTTCACGTTATCATGTGCAATACTTTTGCTTTTTTGCTGAAACGTCTTTCAAAAGCTCATGGGTGGTGTGTGCATATCTTCCTCCAGCTGAAAGAGCAGCTCTCTCAAGCTGAACAAACTCACAGCAGCGAGCTAGAAGGGATGAAAAGGGAAATCTCCAGGTTGACACAAGAGTTACACCAGCGGGACATCACAATTGCGTCTGCAAGTGGCTCCACATCAGACCTAGAACAACGGCTGAGAACAGAAATTGAAAGAGCAGAGAGGAAAGCGGTGGAGCACAGGGTAAAAAAGGCAGAAGACTCTTATGCTGTCTCTTTAAGGGATCTGAAGGCTTGGAATACCACCCTAGTTTTTAGCTTGTTAATAGTTTCCTTCTCTCTTCAGACTTTGAACAAAGACTTTGAGACCCTTCTGATGAAATCTTCTAATTTATGGTGTTCACTGAATCTGTCTTGCTGCTTCTTTTCAAACCTGTAACTGGCAGTCCCACAGAATTCTTTGAGATCACTCATGTTAACTAGGCCTGCATGATGACATCTTTGAAAACTAAAGTAAACGACTGTGCATGGTTATTTGTATGGCCTTCTCTGTAGGGTCTCTGCAGAACTAATGGCCCAAACCTTGCCTTGTACTCATGCTTGAATTGCGGGTGGAAAATGCCTGTAGGGTGTTGTGGGCATGTGTTGTGTTGTGTTGTTTTTTCTGAGCTTGTTGTTTGCCTCTGTCTCCTCAGGTAATTCTGGTCCAGCTGGAAACCTTGAGGCTGGAAAACCGTCATCTCTCAGAGATGCTGGAAAAAACAGAGTGCGGTATGCTAGAGGTATGCATTAGGGAGCGGAGATGGGAAGGGGCTAGCGTTGTGTGTCCCCTGCCTGGGAACCGTAATAGTCTTTGCCTAGGCCTCTCAAAATGCTTGGTAGAGTTCAGTGAACTTAAAACCCAAGCAAAAGGGGCGTTATGTGAGGAAATAAGGCCCAGAAATACTGAATGTCTTGTTCAGTCACAGAGTAGTGAGGAGAACTACAGAAACGGAGCCCTCATCTCAGTTTCTTCTCCATGGGGTCTGGCCCATGGTTTTTAGTACATTTTGTTACATTTCCATTTTATGCCAGTTTACCTCAAACCTCTGATTCTAAATCTCTGATGTCCTTTTGACCTGTCTTCGAGCTGTAACTGCTCTGGTCCTTGCAATTTCTGGGTTGAGAGCATGTTCCCCTCCTGGTGAGGAGCCATTCAGCAGGGCTGTCCCTTGCTCTCCACAGGCAGATTGCAGCCTGGGAATATGGGCTGGATGCCTTGGGGCAATGTGCCGGGAAGGGGCACTGTGGTGGGCTCCTGCTGATGTGGCACTCTTGAGGCTCAATGAGGGCAGCTCGTGCAGAGGGGAGAAGGGGAGCCTGCATGGAAGAGGTGCAGTCTTGGCAGGAATAATACCCTGAATGTAGCTGATTTTAGTGCCTGCGTGAAGGAAGAAATGGCTAGTTTGCAAGTTCTCTCTCATATAAACCAGAATGGATGCCTCACAGGGGGCAAGGACTGGATTCAGACAGCTGAAAACCTAATGGGAATATATCATCAGAGTTTTTATCCTGTCAGATCTGTGAGAAGGAAATACTCAGCTCTTAATGTTAGTTTGGGGTGATTGTCAAATGTGCCAAGTTCTTGGGAAAGTGTTGAACAAAACCTTGTGGCTGGTGAGATGGAGAAAAAACAAAGCTTTCTGGAGGGCTGATTTGAGACTGAAATGACCTAAGGCCCATTACTTTCTGCTTGAAGTGCCTGGTGGGCTTTTGCCTGCCTGACTTAGAAAAACTTGATATCAAAGTGCAAAGCAAGAAATCTGTTTGTTTTTGGGTTTGTTTTTTTTTAAAAAAAGCCCCATGGCACAGGAGCTACCTATCTTGGCCAGGTTCTCCTAATGCACATTTGGAGAGATCTTAGATACAGCAGTGATGAGAATGAATTAAGCATCTAAATTGGCAAAAAGAAAGTGGGAATGTCACAGGAGTAGAAACAATGGAAATTATATCCACCTAGCCTAGTAAGGAGAAGATGGGGAGAAGCAAGCTGTTCAGAGTTTCAAAAAGAAAAAAATAATTCTCTTTTACCAGTGAAAGTTTCTAAAGGGCTACGGGTCATCCCAGGTGGGGAGGCGTATGCACAGCCTTTCGTAATTGTTACCGTAGGCCTTTGCTAATTTGAGTGAGGGGATCTAGAATTGTTCTTGCAAACAGCTTTGCTGGTAGATCACATGGAAGGTAGTTTCTCTCTGAGAGTGGTTACTTCTTATCAACAGCTAAGCCACTGGGATATGTGTTTCTTTACACCCGTAGGAAGTATCTGGCAGAGCGTGCTACTCTGATACCTGGAGAGTTGCTCGGACTGAGACAGTTTACTGGGGGTGCCACCTGAGTGTTCCCAGCTTTGGCTGAGAGGCTTGCATCTTAGCTAAGTGAGGGAATCGTAGACTGTATATCTGGAGGAGAACTCGAGGTCATGTAGTCCTTCTCATTATCCCAAGGCCAGAGGCAGATACATCTGAACTATTCTTGGTCTATATTTTCCTGTTTTTAAAAGCATCCAGTGATGAGAGAGAATTCCTTTTCTAGGCAGATCAGCACAGCGTGTCTGGATGCAGACACAATAAGGCATATATAATTGATTTGCTCATATGAAAGCCTTGAAAATTTTGCCAGTCAAAATTGGGATTAGACGATATGCCTTAAGGAATCACTTGATGGCCTTTGCTCTGGATTTGACTATGGTGTCTTGCAAATCAGAAGTTTAGACTTCAGCCCTTCTCTGTCTATTAGGGAAAAGAGGTCACCCTAAGAGCACTCAGTGAAGACTATGCTGTTGAACTAAATAAATTAAAATCTCAGAACCAGCAATTGCAGAAGGATCTAGCAGAGGCCAGAGCAAAACTGGAGCTCACTTGGCAGGTCCGCCAGGATGAACCTGAGGGCACTGCTCAGCAGGTGCAAGACAAAGAGCCTGAGGCCAGGGATGTGCAGTACAGGTGAGTGTTGCATGACCCCAAGGATGCTGCTTCCTTATTATGAAGGAGAACAGAAGGCATGGGGATGTGTGGGTTTTTGATGATGTGCTTTATGTATAGTATCTATCTCCAGCACATAGCACATATGGGAGAACACAAAGGAGTGTTTTGGAATCTGCCTTTATGCTTTAAGTAGTGCAATAGCTTTTAGTCCCAGCTGGTTTGCTAGTCCCAGCTAGCAAAGCCAGCTAGTATTTGACTATCTTTTGACTGCCTTTGCCTTTTTCTTTGATTGAGAAGCAGTATGTGCTCTTTTTGGTGAAGGGATTAGATTTGGCCCAGGTGGCTGTGCTCCTTTCTTTTGCAGTACTAGGATGTGCAGACTGTAGTTTTTGGTATCTAAAATAGCAGAAGAGTGAGAGAGAACTCCCTAGAGACTGGATGCGCATCTGGAAGTCCTATGGAAACGAGCCAGTTTGGATTGCCAGGGCTATTAGTAACCTTTATGTTAATTGTTATCTCTGTGCAAGTTTTTGCTGAAGTTCAGCTGCTAAGAGGCAAACTGTCAAACAGTTAATGTGTTCAAACCTGCCTTCTAGGACAACTGGGGAAGCACAGCACAAACATGATGAACAAGCAGAGAGAATGCATCACAAGCCTGATGGGACTATTCAGCATCATCAAGGGGAGCCCCAGCGATGGGGGGCTGCTGAAATAGGAACTGTGACCTCTGAGACGGGTGAGCTGCCCACCCAAACCAGCAGGAAGAACTGCATGGAGTCACTTGCTTTGGGCGCCTTGCTGGGAACGGATTCTTTGCTCCATGTGCTGGATGGAAACAAAGATTTCGCAGATGAAGCATCTAAGCAGCCCATCTCAAATGATCAGAGAGAATCTGTGCCTTTGGTAAGCAGTTGTATAGAAGCTGGTTGCTATTCAACAGCTGAGAATATAGCTGGGTTCTCATCTGGTAAAAGGAGCCAGATTTTTTAATGTATGGTTTGGCTACATGCTGGATATGATTCTTTAGGCATACATCAAACTAAACAGGGAGGAAAAACCACTGCTGGATGGTTAATACTTGGACAGTGGGAGCCATGTGGTTATTATTCAGAACTCTCTGGGGAAGGGCTTTGTGTTTGGTTTAACTGATAAGCTAATTCCAGAAGCTCATGGTTCTCTCCGTACTGATGCTGTACATCAGTGTGTACCATGAACTGCTTTTGTCACATCAGAATTCTGCTTCAGCTTTTGGCTTGGGTCTGTAGTAGAGGCTCAGAGTGTATGTAGAGTGCTGAGTATTTCAACATACAGTTTCTGGGTGAATCTGAAAGCTGGTGCTGCACATCTGCATTCACTGTAATGCACGGGGTGAGTTTGACCCCTCTGAATGGGACTGCGGTAGTCATCATACTGAACTTAAAGCCACTTATGCCAGCTGATAGGAAAGCCTGAAATCAGTGCTTCACTGCACAAGGGAAGGCTATTATTTTTCCCAGTCGATGGTTATACTTTTTTAGTAGGGAGCAGTGTTGGCACCTTCTCTGACCTTTTACCTCAGCTCAGTTGCTGGAGCACTTGCCCAAGATACAGGAAATTTGGACTCGATCACTTCTTGCTTGTGGTGTTTAAGACCATATATCCCAGTACACCCTGTAATGACTAGGTTGTAGACTGACTTGAGCAGGGAGGGGAATGGAAGAGGGTCACTGACAGTAACTGTCATACCCTGGGTCAGACAGGGCTGTAGTAGTTCAGGGAGGGGAGAATCCTGGGTGCTGATCCTTGCTCCAGATGTGTTGCTACTAGCAGTCTTTGGAGTATTTTCTCCTCTGGTTGTGTGTTGTTAGCAGTGACAATAGCTATTTTGTGGGGAGCCCAGAGAAAAGTCTCTAAGGCTGATGCATAGATAAGCAGAGGCATGTCAGGTTTGTAGATTTTGACGAGGTTTACTACCAAGAATAGGTCTTGATTGTTTCAAGACTAAAGTAGCTTGTGGGCATGTCCAGAAAACAAACATTGGGAGCTTAGGGAACTGTAATATTCTAAATGGAAACTCTTCAGACTGCAGGATTGGCATTGAAGTGCGAACAGTTCCACTTCAGGGTCTGAGAAGCTCTAGGGCTTGATGTTTAGTAGAAGAGAATGTGCTGCTTTTTGTCTGAGAGGTAGAAATAAGGTTTCTGAGGAAATGCAAATATTTCTCCTGGTGTTGACTGGGACTCCCTGCTCATGGTCAGGCTCCAGTGTCTTTAAGTCAGTTCTTTTAACATTAAGAGGAGAATTCTCATCATTAGGTAATAGTGGGGTGGGAGAGATTTGCTTTTTTCCGCTTCTCTTTGTTCCTGGCTGTTGATAAAAGACCAGAAAACCATGAGACTCCAGGATTTGAAAATAACCGGTTACGTTCTCTTGCCAAGACACTGAGGCAAGTTTTCTGTAATGGAAAGCAGCCCCTTAGTAGCTTTCTAATTCACCTGCCAGCCCCTGTGCAGGAAGCTTCTCTTCATCGACTCGTAAATTAAGCCTAGTTTACAATGTTATTTTTGTAAGTTAAGAACTTGTGGGTCAGTGATGTGAGTAGCCGGAATAGTTCTTGACTGTAAAGGAAAGAATCTGGGATAGTTTATTGACCATTGCTAGCTGAACTGAAGTGGTGTTCAGTGAGCTGCGATGGGAGTTTGGTCTGTACTTCCCCTGTGGGATTGTACCAGCAACCCATTATTTCAGGGAAGAAGAGGAGGTATATGAAAGAAAGCAGAGATATCCCCAGTGCTGGTCCAGTCTGGCAGTTCTTTCCCTTCCCTGGAACCCATATTCTGAGGTGATATTGCTCACTGAGATTTTTATGAAGATGAGGAACAAGATGTAGACCTTAAGTGCGAGGCAGGACTAACACACCCAGGACAAAACCCTTGGTATTTTGTAGTGACCTTCTCTAGAGTTACGCTATGATTGCACATGCCATGTCATTCCCTCTCATTTGAAGTGGAGAGGCTGGTAATTGAAGTGAAACTCCAGTTCCCCTAAGTAACCAGTCAATTCCTATTTGATACCTCTGGAGTCAGGGTTCCACCTGTGATGTGCAACAGTTATTTAGGCACATGGAGAGCTTGTTTCTGTTCAGCTCTAGTCCCCCAGGGCCTTAGAGAGGGGAACTACTGGAATGGAAAAGTTATGTGTGCTGAGGTACTGATTTTACTCCCTGCAGTTTTGGCAAAGGCTTGGGAGGCTTTCATTGTTGGTTGGAGACTGTTGAGAGGGACATTTACCTATGATACGAGCATAAGAACTGAGTGCTTAGTCTGTCGAATAAGACAGGAATGACACAAGAGCCCTTTAGAAGCATATCTAGTTGTGTGGTTTGCAGATCAGTAGTGTTTCTGACTGAAACTCGGAATGAGAGAATACCTGATATTCCTTTGTTTCCTTTTAGTGTCCCCTGCCTACAGCTTCAGTTGGATCGATAGCTGCAAGATACCTGGAAGAAGAAGAACTAAGATCCCAGCACATCCTGGAGTGCCTAAATGCTCACATTGAGGAACTGAAAAAAGAGAGTGGGAAGATAGTGAGACAGTTTGGACACCAGGAGTAATGTTTCTTAGTGAATTTGAATGCTGGTTTACTTACATGGTTCCAAACTGTGACTGGGGAGGTAGCTATAAACCCATTGCCATTGGAGCTTGAGTGAGAGGCTGTACCTCCCACTTTGAGCTGAATCAGCAGGATGGATATTGAGGAAAGGAAACTCCTCTCTAATGTGTTTGATCTGATGGACACCACAAACGCTTCAGTCAGCTTGCTGTAGGTCAGAAAGCTGCATCAGAGGTACATGTTTGTGCAGTCACTCACAAAGAGATTATGGTGTTTTTTTAGAAGCAAACCATTTGCTAATTTTAATATAAAGTATTTTAAGTATATTTTATACATGTAAAAGCATTGAAATAAAACAAAATGGAAAAACACCTCTTTTCTTGTTCATACAAATATACAGAGTAAATCTCTTGTGGCTTATCTTGCCTTCTCATCAGGAACTTTGATCAATACCTTTTCCATCCTTTCCCTCCCAGAGTAGCTATGTTCTTCAAGGAACAAGGAATATAATTCCTATTTCCTTTAGGCTACCTGTATTTTCTCCAGTTAATTTTCCCTTTGTGGAATTTCTTAGTATTTCCAGGTTCTTCCAACTTCTGCCCTTTACTGTTTGTATAGTATCTGGCATCTTTATCTTGCCTTGCACATTGCTGGAAGTACTGCAAAATAGCTGAGGAATGAATGGCTGAATTCTGATTGTGGTCACAGCTCTTATAAAAGAAAGGAGAGTAGTTGGAACTGGAAATGAAATTGTATGGGAGGAGAACCCACAAACAAGTGAGATTCATCTGTATGGCAGATGTAATTGCAGCTGCTGTGTAGGCTGCTATCAGCCTGTTCTGAATCTAGGCAGTCTCGGACACTGTCCAGTCAAGCTGAACTGCTGCATTAAAATACATCTGTGACCTGTTTTGAGGAATATATTCAGTCCTTCCTCAAGAAAAGTAAGTTGTTAATGAGTGAACAGGACCTGTTTCCTGTGGACTTGCCTTTCTTGCAGGGGCACTCTGCAGTTCTTCTGTGGCTGAGCCTTTACAACCTTTGTACAGGCAAACCTAGGGACAGAGAAATCCCTTCTCCATCACTGTAAGTTTCCTGTTCCTTTCCACCAGCTTCACCTTGCCCTAGAGCAGCTTAAGGCTGTCCAGAAAAAGGAATTCAAAAGCAACATGCGCATGCAAAAACCAACCATCAGATTAGGCAGATGAGTTCAGCAAAGGTCATGCCTGTGTGCAGACTGCAGCCTCTTCGTCATGCCATAAAATGGAACTGCACTTGGTCAAGCAATTCTGCATTCCAGAGTTGAAAAACATTTGAATCAACAAGTCCTTTTATTTTGGCTTTCTTCTGGAGTTCTTTGAGCAAGGATAAAACCTTCAAATCCATTCTGGATTCTCATTGTGCAGTCTTTGTAATGAGGTGTTTTAACTGCCCACAACTGGGGATAAACTGTGGTTGTGCATTTTGCACATAGTCAGCATTGGCCTTGGTTCCTGTTCAGAGCTGTCCACAGGTAAGCATTTTTGGAACATCTACCTTAACTATCCCGATCTCAAGTAAGGGCTTGTTGATCATGGGGCATTTTGACAAAAACTGAACGGCTAAATAGAACAAACTTTTTCCCCTTACTGCATGAACCTATAGATCCATTGAGTATGTGGTATGCCAGAGCTCTTGGGGATTCCTCGTGTCCTTCAGTGGTGACATTTTTTTAAATGATACCTTACAAACCATTTTATATTTCCTGAAGATTTAAGTAAGCTACACCATGCACTAAGTGTTTTCAGAAGTTTAGAAGACATTTTGGCTCATTAGTGATGTTTGCTTCCATATCGCTTTCCTTTAGAGATATTTAACAGTTCATGTTGGCAGAAGTGAAGAGCGAAACTGAAGATGATCCATTTGTTTAATTAGCAGCTATAATCCTACAGTATTTATCAATTTCTAATACATGTAATAAGCAGCTTCATTCAGGGAGCAGGCTGTAAAAATTTGATCTAAAGAGTAAAATTTGCAACAGGGGAACTGCCGAATTACTTCTCTGTGCTGGTGTATGTGCTCTGTCTTTCCCACCTTCTCTCTCTGCAGGTACACAATGCCACAGGCTCTTGTGTGCCTGCTGTTTCTGGAGTTGCTGTGCATGGACAACAGGAGAGGAGGACAGAGGTTGAGCAAGGCAGTATGATGAGTTGAACAGTTTCCTGCTCTCACTGCATTGCTCATTTTTAAGCTTGTTTCTTTCTCACGGCCAGCATGGAAATAGAGCATCTGATTGTATACTAAGCATATTTGTTCCATGGGTGAGGAAGCTAGCTCGTGAGTAGATGGAAGTGCAGAGATACACTTGCCAGAGATAAAAACTTGTTCTGCACATACTTAATTTACCTTCACTGAGAAACAAGATGTTTGCAAAACTGAGTGATCTGAATTCATAGTGCTAAGTAATTGCACTTCTTGGTGGTGTAGGGATTACAAAAACTGTTCAGTCCTAAGGCCTGCCAAGGGAGACCTCTGACTGAAATGGGAGAGCTGGTAGTCCTGAGATAACCGGGAAGTCTGTTCCAGAGATGTTCTCCTGGTGTTAGTCTTGGCTGTGCTGAAGAATCTGCATTTTTTATGAGGGGGAGGAGAAGTTTGGTTTATCCTGGAGGGAGATGTTACAGCAAGTACAGACTTCTGTGGTGCTTTTATCTGGGGCTGGAGGGTTTCTCAGGCATTCTTCTCTGCCTTTGCAGTGTCAAACATCCCTTGGAATAATCACTTGGCCCTGGAAGCTTTATAATTAATGAAGCTGGAGCGGGTTTTTTTGTGTCTTTGAACTCATGCCTTCAACAGCACTAAAGAGTTTCTTACACATTTGCAGGGCTGAGCCAGATGTTTGTTTTCTGTTTGAAACAAAAATGTGGAAATTTATTTGCAGTACTCCTGTTTGTACCAGCCTAGCATCTCAAAAGTGGGAAGCCGTTGCAGGCTCTGTCTCTTTAGTGTGCTACAGCTGCTGTTCTGTGGGTGTGACAGTGCTTTGGGTCAGTCTTTACTTTGAAGGGTTAAATGAGTCTGTCTGTGCCTGTATACATGTGTATAATTGCAGGTGCCTGGGTTTTGCAGTGTTGTGTAGGGGGAGGAAGGAATACTCCCTGAGACCTTGCTAGGTAGGGGGCAATAGTGTATAAACTGTCCTTTCTGCTCCCTTAGGATAATTTTTTTTCCCCTCTGCCATCTTGAGACAGAGCATGTGGGGTTAGAGAGAGACCTTGTGAAAGGGAGTCTTTGAGATGAGGAGCAGGGACCGCATTCATACTGGTGTCGCCCTGCAGAGAGGCTTTACCATGGCTGCCCACTAGTTGTGCCTGTTTGTATACGTGTAAATGAACATCAAGTATTTGGCTGCATGAAGGGTTGTATGTAGTTGGTATCCTTGACCCTGTTATGTGGAAAAGGTAGTTTTGTTTAGTTCCGAAGCTCTCTGGGATGCCTCCTTATCCTCCCATTATAAGAAGTGATGTATTTGACTGGATCAGCTTGACCTGTAAAACGAAAGCTACTGAAATGTGTCCTCCTTGGTCTGAAAAAATGGGATCTAAGAAAAAAGATTTCTTTTACTAGGCACCAAAATAAACCAGGGCTGTCTGTGTTTACAGACGAGGCTTGCTTTAGCCTTCGAGGTCCTATAGGCAATCAAAAAATCCCCAAGTCTTTCTTGCATCCATATCTGTGCTGTTCAGTATGTGTTGCTGTCCAGGGAGCGGATGCCTGCTGGGCTACAAGGCTTGTTAGTGTTCCTGCAGGAAGGAGCTGCTGCTGCCAGTTTTTGAAGGCAAAGACACTTAGCTGTTTGGGGGAGGCCTTAAAACCTACTTTTATGTCATGTATGGAGCCTCCTTGTCTCCAAGTACAAAAAAGATCCCAAAGCATTGCTGTACTCCTGGCATCCTAGAGTAAGCTTTGTTAGCTTACACGTTGTGTTTATACTTGCAACTCGTGTCTGCAGTAGCCTGCATCCTCACTGAGAGTTCTGCTACTTGAATACGGCTCCAGGTACTCTGCACACTCACTCAACTTGCTTAAAATGGGGACTCAAACCTGGTTGCTGGGGTAGGGGGAGTAATGTAGGAGGGATCAGAGGCAGTGAGCCTACTGCAGATGGGCAGCCCTTCGCTATCGTGTATAACTTCTGCCACCCAGTCGCTGAGGAGGAGGGGAGTGTAGGAATAACCCACGTATTTTGTGTGCAAAATACAGCAGCTTTGTGAAGAGGAATTCGTATCATTTGGTCAATGAAATAGAATGCAAAAACATAACAGGTTTATTTTAAATTCAAGTTCAAACATAATATCTCTCGGGTCATGCTAACACTTACGGACATCTGAATCGTTTATGAAAATGTTGCTTGATCTTATGACGTGTATTTGTGGTGAGATTCACAAGAAGACCACCTTTGTCTTGTGCATGTGGGGGTTTTCCAAGAGTACAGCACCAAATAGTTTTTTACAGGATAATAATATCACTCAGCCTGCTATTCCACATAACCCCTTAAGTTTTTTAGTTGCAGTATTGCATAGACAAGTAAGGAGTGGTTTTTGAGAACTTTATTCTCCATTTTACTGTAGTTTTAGTTATGGAAACACCTATATGCTTGAGATATGATTACAGTGTTAATATTGCAGAAAAAGTGTTTACAATTCAAATACTCTAATATAAAAAGGTAAAAATGATTTTGTTTATTGTATTTAAGAGTCAGTGTAAAAAGTAATTTCGCAGTATCACTTAAATTTGTAAGACAATGAAGTGCACGAGAAAACTTCACGTTGTATCTTCTTCCTAACACTTCTCTCTCCTGGGATGTATTTTGCAACTTGACTAAAGACATACAGAAACTCGGTTTAAATATCCTGAAGTTCCTCGTGTCCAATATTGCTGCTCAAAACCAGGGTGTACCTTCTTCATTCTGCCCCATAACTAGGTGGATTCTTCTTGGAGTAGCCATTGTAAGACTTTTCTTATGGTCCATAACTTGGAAACCAGCAATCACTGCTGGCACAGAATGACCTATGGCCAGAGTCAGTTGTTTTCTTCAAAATGTTGGACAGTATTACTGAAACATAGGCGAGGGTTTTATTTAATTTCTTCCACTGCTGCTCCTTTCTTAACAGGCTTTTCTGCTTCTTTGAATTTCTTTGAGCCTGTGGTCTTGCAAAAGCCTGCAAGTGTTGTCCTGCATTCGTTGAAAGAACAGATTTGATCGAGAGAATGAGCAATCTCCTAAAGCTGTATTGGTTTTGGGCACATTGGAAATGTTGGTTCATGCAGGTGAGTGAAAGAACAAGGAGGGGGCGTTACTGGGTCTCAACTTCGTATTTCAGGACATGTGAGTAAAAGCTGTGGTTAGCATTCTCGTGCACCATCACAAACACCTCTCTGCATCCCGAAGTGTTGCAGGTTCCCTCCCAGTAGCCTCTGCTCTGAGTGAGAGGGTAAGTGTTCTCAGCTTGAACTAGCACCTTTGCTATCCCATGCATTTTGAGTTTAAACTGAACGTTGCGATTCGCTGGCAGCAAGCCGGAGAGCGGCTCCAGTATTTCATAGTCTTCTGCCCACTTGCTGTAACTCTGAGGGAAAGCTGGCCGCTTCACTTCAGTGTTCAGGCAAGTGATGAGGTAGTTGAAGATGTAGTCGTAATTGCCAGGATCTGACTTCTTCTTGGCATAGATTTTCAGAACAAAGTTCCCTGCGTGGGGGAGATGGATCTTCAACTCAATTTGGTTCCCACGGTGGATTTGCATGATGTGCCGCCTTCTCATATCCTCTGTCAGGCTGCTGTTATCGGAGTGCAGTGAGGCTAAGACGCTTATGTCTTTGCCCAGGGTGAAGGTGACAGAACACCGCCCGTCGTTGGTGTGAATGATGGGGTCGGGGTGTGATGGCCTCAGGAACCCTTGCCGCTCCGTGAACCAGCTTGGTCCAACAGGCTGATGCAGGTCCTTTGGGAAACGCATGGCCTTGTCCACAGACTTGCACTCTACAACATATTCTAACACGCAGTTGTAGACCTCTTCTGAGGCTTTGGAGGGCTTGGCAAAGATCTGAAGCTTGTGACTCCCTGTTTTCTGTGGGTAGATATCCAGCTTCATTCCGTGTTTTTTCAAAGTCATTAAACCATGTTCATCTGTTCCCTTCAGCTTAAACGTAAATAATGTGGCAGAACGGCAATCCACTGATACAGAGGCTTTTCCATTTACTATGAAATACAAAAGAAAAGAAACTGCATAGGAGTTTCAGCACACTTTTTGCATGTACACCCTGTTCTGGGAAGACTAATCTGTTCCAATAGATTGCTGCTTCTCTAATAGTAAAATAAAGAGCTGTAATTGACAGGTCATAGCTTGTCAGCTGTCTGCTTAGACCAGTGTCCCTCAAAAAGAATGAGGTGAAGAGTGGTCTTTGTTTTGGAGATGTGCATATGTCTTATTTTGATATACACTGAAATGGAGCTGTGGTCCTATAGAATATGAAAGCCTGTGTGATAAATAACTGAAAGTACTGTCAGCCCATGTGCTCGAGAAGGGCTCAATTAGATGGATTAGACCTGATTGATAGTCCAGTAGCTGTTCCAAGAAGCTTCAGAGGAAAGTGCAGGAACCCTCCAGTAGGTAGATATGAGATAATCTACCTCCCTTTGTTCCCAAACAGCTTGAAGACAACATTAAGTCCTGAAATATTGTTGCCTTTAAGTTTTAACTCTGTGTTCTTAGCACTCGTAAATTAGCTATCTAGTTAAATTCCTGCAGCTCTTCTAAAATCTGAGGAAGGTGATGTTAAATGTGGGCCCTGTAGTTCAGTGGTGTTACCTGAATAGTTTTGTGTTAAAAGAGCTGCTGGACTTACTCAGGGTGCTGAGTATTGCGTTAAGAAGTGCCTGTTTATCCATCATTCAGTAAGTCAAACTTTTGGAACATTGTAAAAGGTTTTAATCTCATTTTCAAGCCAGAGTTGCTAATAAATAATAGTAATATTGCTAACTTAACACCACTGATGCTGGCTGAAAGAGTAACTCATCCTCAGCTGCTGGCTGAGGCTTTCTTTTAGACCCAGAGGCTACAACAATTTTTCACAGCTTGAACAAAAAGAAAAGAAAGAAAAAAAGGAACAAAAAAGACCCTCCTCTGCCCCAAGAGCTTTGAGTGCACGCTGCTTGCCAGAACCAAGCTGGAAATGTAATTCACTACATGCACGACAGTGTGTGGTGGATGCAGGGCTGCATAAGGAAAGATGCTCTGCAGCTTCCCCTCCACAGGGTGTTACCTGTGTGGATGACAGCTGTCTCCGGGTGTGCAGTCAGCAGGCCCAACATGTAAAAATTACTGTTGTGCAGCATGTTGTTCTCAAAATCTTTCAGCGTCAGGGTTGGTTTAAGAAGCTGCCAGTTACTGTTATCTGGGAAGTGATTGTTAATGAACAGAGCCGGGTGAGTCAGAAAATAAAACTCATTGTACCTGGAAGAAGAAGGAAGGTATTAAAGGAAAACAAGTAATTATAAATAGTTAATTCTTCCCCTGCACAGTGGTGGTGGTTTCAGCAGGAGGAAGTCAGAGTGTTTTGGGCTGCTGAGAAACTGAGGTCTGTGGGTTTGAAATTCTCCAGAGAGAGAAGGAACCTGAGCATTGGTCTTCCATTTCCAGGGCAAATGATGAGCTGATAAATACCCTGATAAAACCAGGGTATGTGCACTATCCCCTGCAACCACGGGCTCCTGAAGAAAGAGGGAGGCACTGCTTGTTGTTTGAAAGTGTGGAGGTACCACCTCTCAGGCAGCTGAAAGCTGTGAATCAAGCGTCACGTAGTATTGCATAAACTGAAGATGTGATAAGCAAAGCAAGTTCACTTTTAGCAGTTATGTGGCTTGCTGCTCAGGGCCGCTGCCCTTCTACAGGTACGTGCTCCATCCCTTGTATAGGCAGCCCAAATATCTTGCTCAGAGCTTTGGGTCTTGCTGTGGGACCTAAAATTTGTCACTGTTTGGTGTTTCTTATCACACCCATCAGCTTTCTTTGACCTTTGGGATAGGTTTATTTATTAACGTGAAGGATGGTTTCTTTACCTGAAGGTGAACTTGGTGAAAGAATCATCAACAGCACCACTTCCCCAGGTGCTATCAAGTAAATGCCACCTTCCATCAAGGTAGACAGCATTCCAGGCATGGTCAGAGTCCCCTGTGAAGGTCTGCCCCATCTTGTACCCATACCCCTTAGAGTATCCCGATAGCTTCATGCACTGGATTCCTGCAATACTAAAAGGAAACAATCAGACATAGCAGGAGACTTCTGTTTAAAACCTCTCAGTGTACTTTTGTGGAAGGACAAAAGGAGGAGCAAAGTCCAGCATGTCTACAGAACTTCAGACTTGTAGTCAAGTGGATCAGCTCCTCAGGTGCCTCCTTGCAGTTGAGTCCCAGGGGAGTTAGGGGTTTTAAATGTCTAAGTGTGCAAGTGTACCTCTCTTTGAAAACTCGAACTTCTGACCCTGGTGACAGACTACTGTGGTAAATGTCTAGGTTACTGCACTTTTTAATTCGTTGGAAAATTGCTGTTAGCTGCGGCGCTGTATTTTTCTTGATAGGGTGATCTCTGCACTCTGTACAATGTTCCTCTAACTGCCTTCCCGTACCAGCCCGTCAGCACATCTAGAGCCAGGCAAGTTCTCCCCTTTGACCACTGACATTATGTAAAGACTGTATTTTTCTGGGCAGTGCTAGAGAATGGCTTCATATGGGGTGAGCATGTGAGAGCAACCCAAGGTAATGATGCCCGAGGTGTTGGGTAGGGGCCGTTTTTTCTTTTAGTCTTTGCATAGGCACTTGGAGAGAGTGTCCCACTGGAGGAAGGGGCTTTTCTCTTCCAGTTTTTGCATATTCCCTCTCTTTTTGTCTGATGCACCATCAATTCAATGTTGTTAGAGGAGGATGACAAAGATGAAGTGTGCTTAATTGCTCTCTGTCTTGTTACTCAGTGGAATCCCTTTGATGCTGTCCACAATTAGCCCATGTAATCATAAATTAAAAGTGTGTCTGTTCATGCTTGTGTTCTCTCTGTGATGGTAGGCCCGGTGTTTGACACCAACTAAGATATCTTAGACCTCATGGGATTGTGGATGCTGATTTAGTTTCATTGAAGAGTGAGCTTGTGCTTGCCCAGGGTACAAATGATTAAATAGTCTCTTTTTTAAAAAAATAATGAATACCTGTGTTGATGTGTAAATAAGATTTAAATAAGCATTGTGTTAATAAGCTCTCTGCTGTTGATAGCAATGGATTCTAACATTGGCATCTTATTTCAGCATTAATCTAAAATTGTTCCACTTAGAGGATTGTCTTTTGTGTAGGATGGTATTGATATTTTTCCTCTTCATTGAAAAGTACATTAAATGGAACAGCTACCTTAAGTAATAAACTGTGCATGCTTCAAGAGCAAGATTGTCTGCATAATGTGGGTTTAACTCAGAAGAAAAGTGATATTTATGGGGAAGATAATTAGCATGGTTGTTAAGAAGTCAAGGTCTGATAACAGATACTGGCTGGTAATTGGCAGTGCAGTAGTGCTTACAGGGAGGACTGCTTTTTTCACAGAGATGATGCTGGTTTAAAGGGAAGGTGGTCACTTCAGCTTCTCATACAGACTTACTAAACTCAAACCTGGATGTCTTTGTGCTACTTAGTTATTTGATACTCTTTCTTTAAGAGTATCAAATTAAATTCTTACATTCTTTCTTAAATTCTTTAAGAAAGAGTATCAAAAATAGAATCACAACTGCAAAGGGCTGATTGAGAACCAGCTTGGGAGCTCACGTTGGGTAGCCTGCAGAGAGAAGACAAAGTTATACGAAGAGGAGAAACGTGGCAGTACCCCATCCCTGCTAAAGATGGCCAGCAAAGAAGAGGAGGGAGCATGCTCTCGTTTAGCGTGGGCTGTTAGGCGGCAATAGTGAGGTGCTGCCTGTCACATGAGGTATTCAAAATGAACGTGGCAAGCCTGGAAGGAATGCCATTGAGAAACCTGGTGTCGCAGGTGGTCTGTAAAGTCTTTGCCAGCCCGCAGTCGCCTGTGAGCCAAATTCTAATGTGGAGCTGGGCAGTAAATCTGGAGCAACTCCACTGACAAGACTGGTGAGAGCTTGGATTTACATGATGTAATTGAGACTAGGAGCTGGCCCGGGAACTTTAAGGAAGATTTGATCCTAGGAGTTTCAAAGGGGCCTAACAGGAGCTAAGTACCAAATTCCCACTAATTTCATGGGGATTGGCATCTAATCCTTCTAGGCTTCTCTAGACATTCTTGTTAGCTGGGATATTCACAGAGAACATTAAGGGACAAGTTCTGCCCTTTGTTGTCTCTGTGCTCTCACTTACAGTGAATGTTAGCAAAGCAGCAAGAAGAGTTTGTGCTTGGATGTGTTCAAAGTTCCCAAAAGAAAGGTCAGAGCATTTAAACAGTGGTCTCTGTAATAATGGACACACAAAAAAACCAGCCTAAAACATCCTGTAAAAGGGAAATCCTGTATTGGTGAAAAGAGTGATCATGTCTCTGTTCTTGTGTAAATGACTTTATACAGATAAATTAACCAGGCAGAGAGAAGATTGAGAAGATCTCTAGAAATGCTTGAAGTGGCAATGTGATGGTAGGAGATGACCTCTATACAAGGTGGACTGGAAGAACTGAATTAAGAAACAGTTGGCAACATCTGCTTGGTGCAGCAAGGAGGTTAAAAGCTGAGTTGCTTTTCTGCTTCAAAAAGAGTAGGAAATAATCTGGATCTCGCTACAGGTGTCACTGAAATTCAATGGCACATTCTTCCCTTTGATTTCAGGTTGACTTTGATTTCATCTAAAAAAGAAGCAAATCTGGCTTCTCCAGAGGGAGACAGAATGGTTTATATTTGTGGTAGGTAGGTGTACACTCCTGTGCCTGAAAAGAAGGAAAGCTACTGACTGTAGAAAACGGGAAAAGCAAGAGGATGTGAAACGTGGATTATTTGCAGACTAATTATGAATAAGGAGCAGCTAAGTGGTCAGATCCACTGTAGGGAGTGTGGTCAGCTTTGCTCCCAAAGGTGGTGCTGAAACCTCTCAAGTGCAAATAATAGTTTTGCCTTTATCATTAATTCCGGTAAGGGAGTTTCTCCCAAAGTCTGGACTGCTAGGTTTTGCCCTAAATTGAGTTCATGAATTTACGCTCCCTGGTTCCCTCGGCCATGCCAGCTCCTTGAGTTGGTTGTCAGCTGAGAAGCCAATTCTTGATAAATGCTGCTAAAATATTCGTCAGAAGCCTGTGTTTACATTCATTGCTATTACGCCTGATCAGGCGTAATACCAAAATTCCAATACCGTAATTCCAAAGAAACTGATGTTTTGTGGCCAGCTTCCCACTATCCGTGCCCACCTTTCCTCTGTGACAGGAGTCTCAGCTAATGGGAGGAAGTCTGGCTGCCAAAGCTGTGGTTAGAGGTGACAGTGTTGTGTCTGCAACAGGAACTCTTCTCTCTGCTGGCACTGGGACAAGTAGGACTCAATCGGTGTCAGCGGTTGACTTCAGCAGGACCTTTGGGGGACTCCTGGTGACTGGCAAATTGGATTGTTTGTTAAAGTTGCCTCAACAGGAGCTAGGAAAAAAAGGCATGTTAAAAGACCTTTTTTTTCCCCCAAACTTGGCTCTGAAAAACCTTTATATAAGACGACTGCTCTTTGCCTCTTGCCTTTATGCTTAGACTCAGCATAAGACTTGAACAGTGCACAAGAAGAAGGGATGAGGAAATCCTCTTGCAAGAAAGGGGTGTTGTCTTTGGTTATAGTTTTTCAGGAAAGGAGCTAAACGTTTAGCTAATATTTGACAAAAGTAATAGGCTGGATGACTGTGAGGTTTTCCGAATCACAAAATGAATAATCAACCTGGAACTGAGGAATTAAGAGTAAATCAACAGAGTCTTTAAATAGTAAAAGATATCCTTGGAAAGATTAATGTTTTTAATGAACTAAACATATGCTTTCTAATGAACAGATGCAAATTTCCCCCACTTCTGCTAATAACTGTTCCATAAGATGCAGTTATAAATTCATACTTCATCATCCTATTTCTTTATTTTACTCCTTAGAAAGCAAGATCCGATATCTCAGGATATGTTATTGGTTGGAAGCATTCATCACTTTAGCATCTGGCACAGTATTTTTTTTTTTTTTTTTAAATATGTTCTTTTCCTTGCTGCTCTGCTGAGAAGGTGCTCCCTGGGAGAACCACACTGCAAGCCCACGCTCTTGGGAAAGTACACCATTGCTTTCTGGTGTTGGAAGCCCCTTCCAATCTTGTGTCTGTGAATCGTCAGGTCCAGTTTTCTCCTCTTGGACAACCTTCTACTACTGGTCCACTTGCCAGGCACCTTCATGGCCTTCACCACTCCTCTAAGCCAAACTATTGCATACAGCTGCTCTGTGAGAAGGTGCTCCCTGGGAGAACCACACTGCAAGCCCACGCTCTTGGGAAAGTACACCAATGCTTTCTGGTGTTGGAAGCCCCTTCCAATCTTGTGTCTGTGAATCGTCAGGTCCAGTTTTCTCCTCTTGGACAACCCTCCACCGGGCCCAGACCT